TCGTCTGAGCCCTGGAGGCTGAGATGTCCCGATCGTCGCCGCCGGGCCGAAGCCAAGCCGATGGTTTTGTTAGATCCGCTCAGCCGGAGCCCGGCCCGCGGGGAGGAGGGTGCGCCCGGCTCTCCCCTTTCCAGTGGTTCCTGCAGCGGGACGGGCTGCCTTCGACCCCATGGTTTTAAATAGAACGTGTCCCCCAAAATAACAAACATCCGGGCCAGCGACCTATGGACAGGAGGTCACATTTCATAACCAGCGCGTGCAGGAGGCAGCCGGTCAATGGTTCTCATCATTGATGTTTCTTTTTTAAAAAATATATATATATTATTGATTTTTTACAGAGAGGAAAGGAGAGGGAGAGTTAGAAACATCGATGAGAGAGAAACATCGATCAGCTGCCTCCTGCAAACCCCCCACTGGGGATGTGCCCGCAACCAAGGTACATGCCCTTGACCGGAATCGAACCTGGGACCCTTCAGTCCGCAGGCCGTCGTTCTATCCACTGAGCCAAACCGGCCAGGGCTCTTTTCTTTCTTAAAAATATATTTTCAGCCCTAGCCGGTTTGGCTCAGTGGATAGAGCCTCGGCCTGTGGACTGCAGGGTCCTGGGTTCGATCTGGTCAGGGCACAGGCTCAGGTTGTTTGCTCGATCCCCAGTAGGGAGGGAGCTTGCAGGAGGCAGCCAATCCATGATTCACTCTCATCATGGATATTTCTATCTCTCTTCCTTACTCTCTGAAATCAAAAATGTATATACTGTATATATTTTTGATTTCAGAGAGAGAGAAACATTTATGAGAGAGTCATCGTGAGCTGCCTCCTGCAAGCCCCACACTAGGGATCGAGCCCACAACCCAGGCCTGTGCCCTGACGAGGAATCAAACCCCGACCTCCTAGTTCATAGGTCAACACTCAACCACTGAGTCATACTGGCCGGGCCATCATTGATGTTTCTATCTCCCTTACTCTCTGAAATCAATAATATATATTAGATGAGCGTTCTGAAGGTCAAAGAGACGGGACCACCTGAGAGAGTGGATTGGGTGTGGAGGGTGGAGGCTGGAGGGAGAGAAAACAGGACGCCCGGCCTCTGGCTCAGCCCCCAGGTCGTGAGCACCGCTGCGGTGGGTGCTGCTGCTGAGGTGTGTGGTGGGTGTGAGGCCAAGGGGAGCTCAGGTCAGGTCCGGGAGGACGTCCGGCTGGAGGCACAGGTGTGGGCCATCAGCCTACCTGGGCTGTAAGGTCACCGAGGGGATGTGGACAAGGCACAGGACAAGGAGGGGGCCCTGGGACACCCCAATGTGTGTCACCGGGAGATGAGCCAGAGGAGGCGCTGGGCAGGGGTCCCCAGCGAGCTGAAGGAAAAAATGTAAAAGTAAAATGCTCCTGAAACATCACTTTTTATCCAGGTGCCTCCGTGTGGCATCCAGGGACCAGTCAGTGCGACCGGAGGTGGGGACCTGCAGACGGAGCTGGGAGCAGACTGGTGGGTCTTCTGTTCTATTCGTTACACACACTCAGAGCATAGGGCCCCCCGGCCGTGCAGTGTTTGTGGGGAGCATCTGCTGTGTCCCCATTGCACTGTGCCCTCTCCCCCAGCTGATCAGGCTGTGCCTCCCCAGTGGCCACCCGAGGACCTCGCTGCCAGAGACCCAGCGGGTGGACGGAGCTCTGGCTGGGCCGCCTGGACTCCTGTGGGGCTGGCTTTGCAGAATTTGTATTCACTGGTTGGAGAGAGGGAGGGAGGGAGACACACCAGTTCGTTGTTCCACTTTATGCGTTCATTGCCTCCTCTGCCTGTGCCCGACCGAGATCGAACCCGCAGCCTTGGCCGATGGGGGTGACTAACCCACAGAGCTCCCGGCCAGGGCCGCGGGAGCATTCCACAAGAGCTAACAGGTCCTTGTTTGCTTAAGCCGCTCGGATTCCTGTCACCTGCCACGGAAGTGCCGGATTAATAATAAAGGTGAGGGCAGGGTGAACTCTGGCGCCTGTGCGAGGCCTGTGGTGTGGGACCCGCGGCGGGTGCACACCCTGCAGGGTCCCCTGGGAGGAAGAGAGAGGGAGAGAGAGAGAGACACGAGGAGAAAGAGCCATCGCTGGTGGCCTCCTGCACAGCCCCTGCTGGGGGTGGAGCCGGAAACCTGGGCCTGAGCTCCGACGGGAGGGTTCGCTGTGAAGCAGGGGCCCAGCTGTCCGGACGCAGGGTCAGCAGTGAGGGCGGCGGGTGACCACCCGGGGCAGTCCCGACCCTCCCGCCGGCACAGCTGGCCAGCTCCCCGTGGGCACAGACCGCAGGAGACTTGCACGGTGACGCTGTGTGGAGATGGCTGAGCGTCCCTGAAGCCGTCCCCTTTGGGTCTGTTTGGAAAATTCCAGTAGCACCACTATTCTTATGAAAAGCTGCGGCATTCCGAAGGAAGAAACAACGCTCTGGCCAGTGCGGCTCAGTGGGTGAGCACCGTCCTATGCAGCCAAAGGTCCCTGGTTTGCTCCCCGGTGAGGGCACATGCCCAGGGTTGTGGGCCCAGCCAAGGGAGAGGGAGAGAGATCTGGGGGTGGGGGGAGGGCGGCGGGGAGCATATCAGTCCTCGAAAACAGCTGAAGTTTTGCTCAAGATTCCCAGAGGCATAAACAAGAACTGGGTTCTCAGCTCTGTTTGTGACCAGACTGGTTCTGGCTGCTGAGCAGTCCCAGGGTTTTCTCCGCGTCTAACACCTGTGCTGGGCGGGAAGCAGAAACACGAACCCCAGCAACCGAAACGTGCGAGGACGAAATCTTCTTAGTAACAAAACCCCACAAGGATGTGTAAGTAAGACACTGAAATCTGAGCTGTAAGATCGCTTTTCAGAACGCAAATCTCACTCTGATGAAAAGCAAACTTGTACCAACATGACAAGCCCACCAGTCAGGCACCCGCCGGAGGTCAGATGAGGGCACATTCGGGTCCTTTTCATCCTGGCCAGCGCCTGCAGAGGGCTGGGTCGGACCTGGCTGGCACCCGGGCACCGGGCAGACCACATATGTAGCCCTGGCAACTCACCGTTACGTAGCAATAGTTAAAACTTTAAAAAAAAATTGTTTAAATGTGTTTTTATTGCTCTGACCGGTTTGGCTCAGTGGATAGAGCGTCGGCCTGCGGACTGAAAGGTCCCAGGTTCGATTCCGGTCAAGGGCATGTACCTTGGTTGCGGGCACATTCCCAGTGGGGGGTGTGCAGGAGGCAGCTGATCGATGTTTCTCTCTCATTGATGTTTCTGACTCTCTATCCCTCTCCCTTCCTCTCTGTGGAAAATCAATAAAAAATATATTTTAAAAAGGAAAATAAACCTTATTTTTAAAAAATGTGTTTTTATTGATTTTAGAGAGAGGAAGGGTGAGGGAGAGAGAGAAACATCACTTGGTTGCCTCCCATACGCACCCCAACCATCACCTGGGTATGTGCTCTGACTGGGAATTGAACCTGCGGCCTTTCGGTGTGTGGGGCGACGCTCCGACCCCCTGAGCCACATGGGCCAGGGTGGAACAGTTACAGCTTTTAAAGACCAAGATGTGCAAATCTTTAAGATTTTCTTTGGCACTTCTTGATAAAAGCACTATGCAAGTTTCAAAAAATCTCTGACATAATCATTTCTATCTTTTTCTAATTATCCTTTTACCATAGAAACATACAGAAATGACATGAAACATGTAACTCACTGAATCCTACGGCGGATACCCCTGTACC